GGGGCTCCCAACTGGGGCACACTTCTTGCAGGCACGCCCGTCCCTCCCTCCCTCCTGGCCGTAGCCACGGGGCCACTCCCCGAAAAGAGCCACGCGTTGGAGCTGCGGTGGGGCAGGATCTTGTACCGGGAGCTGCTGGCGTCGAGGCCAACGGCATGCAAGGCGGGGAGGCGCACCCCCGACCGGGGGTTTGGGCTGTGCGTTGCTGGGTGCGGCCTGGTGCGACGGGCTCGCGCCGCATCGGCGCGGCGGCGACCCCAGCGTGGGCGTTCAGGATTTGAGCGCTGCCGGCGCCCCGAGATCGGCAGGCGTCGAGGGATCTGCGCTAGAGGGGGAGACCGCGACCATTCCCGTTCCAGGATGAACAGTCCATCAGAGCCCCGAATCATCAGGGGTGACTCGGGTCAGGGCTAACTCGGGTTCGTTTTTCGGGAACCCAAGCCTGAGTTACCCCGGACCCGATTCACCCCGGATAACTCGGGCGTCCAAGTCCGCGTGGTGTCGGAAAGCAGTGGTCACGCCGACACGGCCGGGTTCTTGGCGTCGAGCAGCAGGGATGAATATTGGCCCCTTCGGGGCGCGTGCGTCGCGGGTGCGGCTCGTTTTTGCCCGAGCCGCCCCCGGGAAGCGGGCCCGCCGAGGGAGCGCGCTGCCCCATGCGCAAGGCACGGTCGTCTCCAGGTCAGCAACGTCAAGGTCCGATGCGCATTGCAGAGTGGATCCGCTTGGGAGCACAATCAGGAGGGAAAGAAACACACAGACACAATTCATCGTTGATTCCCAGGAACATATGCAAAGATATGGGCAGTGGGGGGGAAGACAAACAACCAAGAAAATATGGGGAAATATGTGGAATCCTTTTATTTGTGTGTAGTTATTTGTGTGTCCCAAGGCCCCTTCACACAAGGCGGCGGAACAGCGAGGCGGTTCCAGGAGCCACTCGTCGATCGGATATTTCGCAGACGGCCTCGGCATCGGAAGGGTCCACTCGCCGCCGTCCCGCTGTTCCAGCAGCCGCGCTCCCAGATGCGGCTGCGATATCGCGGAGCGGCGTCTGGCGCTCATGCGCTCGCTCACGGGATCCGGGAGCAGCCGCCAGTGCCGCTGGTGGCATTCGGGGGCGGAAAAGAGGGGGGTGATGACTGGGGGGGGGGGGATTTCATGTTTCATGGCGCGGGCCATGTTTTTTCCCCAGATTTCATGGCGCCTCTTCTTTATTTCATTACGTCCCAGGTCCCCCCGCTGGGCCGCGCACATGCCGCCGGTCATGATTTGCACCCCCCCCTCTTGGACACCCCCCTCTTGGCCGCTCCCGTGGCATGGTGCCCCCCCGCCCGACCGCCTGCGGTACGGTCAGAAGCTTGGGATGAGGGCCCCTTTGAAGAGAAGGTTGGAGCCTCGTAGTCCTCGTTCGATCCTCTCTTGCTGTGCAGTTGGAAACTCGGGATGGGGACCTCTTTGAGGGAGGCTGGAGCCTCGTATGCCTCGTTCGATCCTCTCTCCAGCGCGCCTCGTGCATCCTGGCGCAAGCGAGGGTTGCCATTCAGTCGGGCCTGTCCCTCTGCAGAAGAAATACAAAATAGTCAAAACAACAGTCTGGAGACGATCAATTTCCAGTATTCTTCACTATGTTGGAATATTTTGGGGCTTTTTTTTGAATGTTTCATCAAAAAATCCGCCTGTAGAGGGACATGCCCGACCTGAAGCAAGTGAGGGTAACCAGGGCTTCGTTCCCCATCAGGATCCTGATGGCAAGGCATTGGCTGTGACAGAACACATGTTCTGCTACAGAGCACAGTGCAGAACGTGCTGCTATCGCTGCTCGGGTTTCCACTGGTAGGCCTCGGGATTTGCATGCTCATCTGACGATCGGGTTGCAGTGTCGCATGCCATGTGCCGCGCACGAGCCGTCGGCAGTAAGCATGTCAGTTCAATACAAGTCTTCGCAAAGCGACAGACTATTTGCATTGTTGTTATGGGTCGGCCTTCCATCGCATGGGACGTAGCACAGATTCTGGTCGCCAGCTTTTTCCATACATGACACAGTTCATAGTTATCTGAAGGCTTTTGGCCGCTGCCGCTAACCCCCGTGTCAGTCTACCTACCTTGTTGGGATGGTTCATGCCCTCTTGAGAGGATCTCTGGGTCGTAGAAGGAGTCTATGTGTTAGATTTCTCTTCGAGCATCGCATGCATGCGCTTCCCCCCGAGTCTATTGACTGCTGTCTGTCTGTCTGACTCATCTGTTGATTAGTCACGCCCAGCCCGTCAGCAGGCCATTTGAGTTTCGGCCGCACCATGGCGCATGCAAGAGCACGCCGTTTCAGACGGGGCCGCCCAGTATGGCGCATGAAGTGGCTGGCAGAGTTATGACGGTCCGTTGAGTGCGTTACTCTTGACACAACCAAGACCTTCCATTTCGTGCCGCTGAGTGTGCAACGTGTGACGCAACCAATCGCAGGCGGTTTTGTTTTCAGCCGCCGAGTGCTCCTCCAATGGCAGGCTTGTTGATGTGCAGCATCGGAGTGCGCACCCTAGGGCGGAGTCCATGGCGCGCCCAACGAGTGTCGCAACCTACGTCGCAACTAGTGGCGCACTTCATGGTGCAGCCCATGGATGGCCCAACCCATGGCGCCTCCCATGCATGGCGAAACCCACGGATTGCGCAACCCATGGATACAGCCATCTTTGGCGCATTTTGTCGCGCAACCCGTAGCGTAACCAATCTGCGCAACCCACGGATGGCGCAACCTATGGTTCAAATCATTGTTTTCGCACTCCATGGGTGGCACGCCCCTGGCAGTTTCTACAGGGCTACAGCCGATGTGTGCTCGCCGTTTTGACTGTCGGTGTTTGCACAAGCGGCGAGCTGCCTTGGTGATTGACCCTTTGGAGCCTCACCAGGTCTTCCTTGGGTCCTCTCAGGGCATTAGTTGGGCCGTCTCTCTGTTTCTGTGTTGGCGCCTACTGGAGCTTCTTGGAGTCTTCTCAGGGCGATGTTGGAGACATCTATGGCCATTTTGCAGGCTTCTTGATCAATTCAGGCGCCACCTGGCCTCATCACAGATGGTCTTGCAGGGGGGCGGCACAGGTATTGCATTCATTCTCGTACGGCACGGCAGTGATAACGCCATTGCAGCGTGATAGTTTTCAGTTGAATGGGTTGGTTGTGGGTGTGGTGTAGATGTTACAGTGTGGTCAACTGTACGACATAGGCCAGGACCGTGGCCAAGGTTTCGGCGACCTCTGGCAATGGATCTAGCCGTACTTCTGTCTACGCAACTGCAGCATGGGCCTCGATTGCTCAGTGCCTGCTCCAGCGATGCAGCACAGCTGCAACGGCAACGCGGCGCAGTCGATGCTAGCGCTTCGACGAAACCCCTGATGGCGCTCGGGACCCAGCGACCAAAATAACAGTCAACCGTATAATGTCTGAGTTGTTTCCAGGGGCAAGCGCTAGCATCACCGAGTCACTGACAAGGGCAGCATCGCTATGCCTTTGAAGCTGTGGCACTGGAGCGGTCAACGAAAGATCGGTTGAACATGCCATGTCATGTGGGGTTGAGCTAAACCAAATTCTGTACACTGCGGGCCCAATGCGTGCGCCGCACTTGGCGCCGTGCTTGACAACGGATTTGCCCGTGCACGCTGTCTTCTAGACAGCAGGCGCCGCCAGGCCACAGCCGTCG